TCGGTTCAGCCTCCGCGAGATCCAGGAAGCAAGCGGCAGAGAGGACTTTTGCACACACTTCAGAGCGAGTTTTCCAAGCAGTCTTCCCCGCGAGCGGCGACGTGAGACAAGAAGAACCCAAATAAAGCCTGAGCCCGGAGGAGGCCTGCCAGGTAGTCCTGGAGGACACAGCCGCTTTCGGGACTCGCAGACTGAAATCCCCGGGGCCATTCGGCCTACTGGCGTGTCTGGGGGAGCCTTGGCGTGGGGTCAGATGGGGTCCGACGCCCCCGTGGAATGAGAGCGCACACTCCTAGCGGCCTCGGTCCCACGGGTTCCGCGGGTTGTGCTTTGCAGAGACTGGCGCACGTATCCGCCAAGTCCCTGCAGGCTTTTCCGTTCGCGACCCCTTTCCGAGTTCCTCCTGAAGAGTGCGATGCGCAACCGGGGCGGAAATGCAGCTTAGGATCTGGCTGCGACCCGGGCCGGCAGCTGGACTGGCGGTAACGACAGTCCCTAATGAGCGACCGCCAAGGCTCACCTGCTCTGGCCCCTCCTGCGCCCGCGCAGCGCGCCCACCCGAGCCACTAATTGCTAAAGCCTGTCCGCACCGCCTGCCACCCAGATGGGGGCGTCTAGGACAGATGGGGTCCAGGCACCGAAAGGGAGCATAGGAGCTTCCCTTGAGTGAGCTGGGACGTGGGGCACTGGTGGCAGCTAAGGCAGTCTGGAAAGGATGGGGTCCCAGGGGGGTCCTGGGTGTGTGGGCTGGGCGACCTACTGGGTGTGGACTGTGGAGCAGCACTCTTGGATTACAACTGGGGGTGCCCCTGAGCAAGTCACTTATCCTCTCCGGGCTTATGTTTCCTCACCTGTAAAATGGGATAATAATGACACGGCCTCTAAGAGTTACAGTGAGAATTCAATGAGCTGACATGTGTAAAGCTCAGTACGGGGCCTTACACCCACCACTTTAATGTTTTCCACCTTCTCTTCCACTTTCTTTATTAATATCCTATTAATAATTAATGGTGTCTGTGGGGGGTAACAGCCTCCCTCTTCCCAGATCTGCTGACTGGTTCTTCTCTGTCCCCCCACCCCATTAACCTGTAGCCAGGCAATGCAATCTTATAGCAACAACAACTCGCCCCCTAGAACAGAGTTAGGAATCAGAGGAGAGAGAGAGAGAGGGGGGGGGGGAGATTAATCCCCATCTCTGCCCCATCTAACATGGCCCTTCTCAGGGAGTCTGAAACTTAACTGAGCCCCCAGAGCATGGGTTGTTGGCAGCTTCCAAACTAAGGAGTAGCCATGGTAACTTTACCTTGCTGTTTCTGTCCCTCTCCCATCCAGTGGGATTGAGTGTAGCAACCGCTCACTCTGGCAACAGCCAGGCTTGATTCTGGTCTTCCTTTCAGGTCTGTAAAGACAATGATGAGAGGGGCAGACACCGGTAGGGCCTTTGTAAAAGTCCCCCATGATTCCTACTGGTACTATGTGGGGATGGGGAGACTTGGCACAAAACCTGTAAGGAAAGAGGAACTTGAAATGAGAGGTGGGCAGATGTGGAGGAATCCTTTGTCTTTGATGAACTTCTAGGTAGCATGAAGGTTTTTACTTAATAGAGGGAGTTCAGACAGATTTCTAAGTAAATTCTGCCCTGAAGGGAGACAGACATTTTTCTAGTGCTGGAGTAGTTTTATCCATGAGAGCATGTTAGAGAATTGAAAACACAGAACTGGCCCCAGAAGCTCTTCACTGGTTCCAGTCCAGGAATGAGAAGGTCAGGTCCTGCCCAGGTGGCTACAGAAGCCCTAGTTCACCATGGATATCCCTGGTGCTACATCTTCCTACTGCCAACCAGAAAACCAGCTCTCACTGGGAGTATGACACTTCTGCGTCTCAGCAATATCATCCTCTACTAAAATGTACTTTAGGTTTGCCAGTTCACTTCACCCTTCTGCTCACTGCCTGTCCCTGGGATGCAGAATTCTCTGGGCGTCAGAGTTATCCTGGAGTTCTGGCCAATCCTAGAGTGAGTCCTCCAATACTGCCCAGGGAATTTCCTTTTTCTATGACTCCAGCCTATCTGAGAGTGGGGATCTTGGGGACAGTCCCCTGGTCACTGAACTCTGTCCTCTCAACCTCCTCTGGTAGAGCTCTCAGGTTTTTAAGGAGGTTGGGGGGGGCAAGTCTCTGCAGACTTTGGGATCTGGTGAGTCCGTGGGCCCAGCAGCTGAAAGCTGAGGAGCCACAAAGGCCACACAGAGGGTTTTGAAGTTGGAAAGAAGTTGAGCTTCACTCAGGTTAGTGCTGGAAAATATTTAGGGACCAGGGCTTCCCTGGTGCCAACTCACTATGGCAAGTGCCACAAGGAGCACTGCTTCCCTGCGGGTTTCCTTTGCCTTTCCCTCTCTCTTTTAGTAGGAAGCCTGTTCCCAATTAAGGCTCCAATCAAAGTCAAAGTTGTGCACAGTTTTCTACCTCTTCTCATGGAAGTCCAGCCTCTGGCCTGAACCTTCTATCCAGGACCCTGGCCAGTTCAGGGCCACCCTCCTCAAGGGTGCCTGCCCCCACCCGCAGTGCCCCATGCCGCTCTTGTGTGCACATGTATGTGCCTCCTTAGGGTCCAGGGATGCTCGGGCCTCACACATTGAGTCTGAGGCTCCCAGCTGGATGTGTAGTTCAAGCTCCTCCTAACTTGGCAGGGGTCTATCTTGGCCTTCGGCTAGATACTGCTGAGAACTTGGGGACCAGAGTGGCGGGCAAGACTTAATTTGTCTTCTTCCAACATTGGTCCTTCTATGCATACACCCAGAGGCTGCACCAGCACGCGTTGCGTCGTGTTTTGCCATGGGTGAAGAGGCCACTACCATACAAAGCCCTCTACCTCTACCCTTAGCTTGCACGGGTCAGGGTTTCCAGCCTCTTCCGTATGTGTCTGCAGCTAGAGCTGGACCCAGTTTTAAATTCTTTGCAAGTTTCGTTTCAAATGGGAATTCAGAGTAAAGATGACTGGATCTTACCCTGCCCTCTGCTTGGGTTCACTTAGCGCCGCTGGGCTGCTTTTCTCTGCCCCCAAGCACTTGGCCTCCTCCAAAATCCCTCCTAGCCTTTGGTGAAAAGAGAAGCCCTTTGGTGAAAAGCGAGGCCTACAGCACCCGTTCCTGGACGCAGCAGTTCTGGCCAGCCGCCCGACATTACCCAGTAGAGGACCGGGAGTGCTAGCCTGCAGAGTTAGAGGATGGAACCAACCCCAGACCTGGACAAGGGACTCTGCGTGGGCTGGGTTCCTCCCGGACCGGACTCAATAAATGGGAACAGGGAAACCTAGCCCCAGGTTCAAGGGCATTCAGCCAGTGGCTACTAAAGATGTCATAACGCAGCAGCCGGTCTTTTCAGGAGAGAGCGCGTTCTTGGTCAGAGCTCTGGTGAAGAGACTGCAACAGGATCTGTCCCTGTTCATGATCAGGCTGAAGTTCTTGTTTTTGTTTTGTTATTGTTGTTGTTTGTTTTTATTTCCATCCAGAATCCCCCTTAAGAGCCATATCTTCAATCCGCATTACAGCTTTGGGTTGTAAGGAACCCTGTGTCCGCAAGAAAAGAGAAGTCACCCCAGGAAAGAACACAGAGGCCAAAGTTGGGCAAGTAAGAGCCAAGTAGTCCCCAGGGCCTGGCTCTTTGCAGTTTCAGACCTGAGTGGGCACCGCAGCAAGGTGGTACAAAGCCCAGAGAAGGGACAGACCAAACATTCCTGTGCAGCCTTTGCCCTCCACACCGTGGGCCTTCCCACAGCAAGCACTCAGCCCCAAGCACCTGGTTCCCTGCTGAAGCCAAGGGAACCCACTGGGCTGTGTGGGGACCAGCAATGCCCTTGAGCAGAGAGAAAATAAAAGCTCGGCAGAAGAGGATGTCTGAGCATCCAGACCTCCAGCCCAAGGCACGGCTTTCTCCGGGAAAGGTCAGAGTTCCACACAAGGAAATGTACACTCTTAAACTAGCAATCTTTAACTGAAGGGAAAGGGAGTTTCCCGGTTAGATCTGAAAAATAAAATTAAGGAAAAGCAAGTTGTGATAAATACAGGAAGGATGTGCTCAAAGGCTATTTAAACAGAATGGGTGCGCAGGAGGGGAGGAGTTGGGGGCGATTGACAAACAGCCCCCCACTGTCTTTCTTCTGGGGAAAACCAACGGGATGCTGGCTAAATCCTGCCCAGAAAATCGCATTCCTCACCCCTCTTTCTCGGGGCTCCCTGAGCACCCTCCCACTCACACGGATGAAAAAGTTTGATTTACTTTAAGTTTTATTTAAAATCTCAACACTCAATCATTTATTTCGTTTTCTGCAACCAAACAAGTAATAAATATTATTTAGCACTTTTTTTTTTTTTTACAAAAATAAAACAGATGATACACTCTCTGCTAGGTCAGCGTTTATCAGAGGAGGGATGTTATGTGGCAGAGGAGTTGAAGCCCATATTGCAACGCAACCAGCGCCAGGCGATTTGCACCAACGCAGGAAGCACGTGGAAGCACGTTTGCCATTTGAGTTAAAAAACCGTGGCAAAAAGAAACCGATACAGAGAGGAAAGCCGGCTCAGACTCCGGAGGGGTTGGCAGTCACGTGAGCAAACAGCTTAGCATCGTGCACTTACCTCATCACTGATAGTGTATTTACATCTTCCAGAAAGAAATTATTAAACAACTAACAGAACCCCGCCCCCATAACTCAAGCTATATTCACAGCAACTTCTTTCAGTTCTGTCAAACCCTCAGGTACCAAAATAACTGTTTCCAATCGGGTAAGAAACCAAATCACTTTGTGTGTGTGTGTGTGTGTGTGTGTGTGTGTGTGTGCGCGCGCGCGCGCGCGCTCAAGACGGAAAGAATGAAGAGAACGGGGGGCTAGTATTCATTTTAAAATACCGAAAAAACACCCGCCTCCCCCTAAATCGGCAGTTTGGGTTATTTCACCCCACAAGTGGTTCTATTCTGAGCGTCTATAAAGCTTGCTCATACTGTTGAAAAAGGAACATTCACAGATTTATTAGAAAACCACAAACCCCCAAGTCAACAAGAGAGACAGGAATGGCCACAGTTTTTACACGATGTGGGTTTACCCAGATATGGAAACCGGGCATAACCAGACACGACCGTAAGTGCTTCGGGTACCAGCACCAACTTCCATCTAACTCATTGCCCCTGGCCCAGGCTTGGAGCTGACCCTTGAGGGTGAGGCCCAGCGGTTGCTTCTGCAGTGAGGATCCCAGAGTCTCCTACCAGCTGAGAAAGGAGGAAGGAGGGAAAGTCCCCCGACCCCCCACGAAGTGCTGCCTGGGTCCAGTCTGGGAGTTAAACCGTGGCTCTTGGGGAAACAGTTTTTAGACTCTTTCCCCTGGGTGGAGAGAAGGAATTCGAGTGAAGAACGCAAACGGTGGTGCCATTTTACGAAGTAGTGTCTACCGGATCTGCGCAGTTTAAAGCCGAGGGCCGAACTAGGTCCCGGAGTCAAGCGCCCCTCACTCCCCACTCTGCGCGTTCCCATTACTTCCATTCCCGGGTGCTGTAGTCCCAATCATTCCCCACCCTAGCCCATGGTCCTGAGCCCCTCCTCGCGAGCCCTAGTGCCGGCCAGTCCCCTCGCTTCTCTGCACCCTCTGGGCACCCCCTGCTCTCCAGAACGCTCCAGCACCGACCAGCTCACTTGGCGTCGGAGGTGAGGCGCGGCAGGCTGCCGGCGCCCATAGCCGACACATGGTGGTGTGGTGGTGGCACCTGGCACATGCTGCAAGGGCAGGGCATGCCTCCCCAGTGCTGGAAGCCACCGCTGCCTCCGCTGCCGCCTCCCCCGCCCCCGAGCGGGGCGGCCGTGGCCGCTGACGGAGACTTGAGCAAGCCGTGCGGAGGCCGGATGGAGCCGACAGACGACAGCCCGGAGCCCGGCAGAGAGGCGCTGGACACCGCGGCGGCGGCGGCGGCGGCAGCTGCGGCGGCTGCGGCGGGAGGCAGAATGGGGTGATGCACTGCCGGATGGTGGGCCGCGTGAGCGGCGGCCGCCGGGTGAGCGGCGGCCGCGGGCAGCGGTGCAGAGTGCGCCAGACCGCCGCAGGCCGACGGATGGAAGCCGGCGTGGTGGCCTCCGTAGATCTCGCTCACCAGTCGCTTCATCTCCTCCAAAGAGTTGGTAAGCATGAGGATGTAGTTGCGCGCCAGGAGCAGCGTGGCGATCTTGGAGAGCTTGCGCACCGACGGGCCGTGCGCATAAGGCATGACCTCGCGCAGGCCGTCCATGGCGATGTTGAGGTCGTGCATGCGCTTGCGCTCGCGGCTGTTGATCTTGAGGCGCAGCTGCTGCAGCTCCGGCTCAGTCATCTGTTTCTTGTCCTTCTTGGTGGACGACGTAGCCGCTGAAGACGTGGACGATGAAGTGCTGGACGAGGATGACTTGAAGCCACTGCCGCCCAGCTTGTCCCCGGAGTGCGCGCCCGCCGCGCCCATGGCTCCGCGCAGCTCGGCGCTCAGCTCTGGAGGGCAGTCGCTCGGCGTGGACGAGGACACTGTGCCGCCTGTGAAGCTGCTGCCGCTACTGCCCTTGCTCCGGGCCGGCAGAAAAAGGTCATCGGGCTCTGGCGACGACGGGCGGCTGGACACCAGGCTGGCGTCCGAGTCCATGGCCCCGGGGAATAGTCGCAGCTTTTGCAAGGTCCTTTCTCCCAGGGTCCTCAGAGCTTCCCGGAGAGAAATGGGGAGGGGGCGATATGAATATATGGAAGAGAGAAACAAGACACTAAGTGAGACAGAAAAGCTGCTCCTGCCTGCTCCTTAACGCAGAGTCCAGGCACGGGTGGCGGGTAGCTCTGCGTCCACCTCACTGCTATCTCTGGCCTTGCTTCTAGCCGCACCGGTATTCATGACTCATCTCCTCTTTCCTTCCCCACTGCCTCCCCTCTGCTCTCATCCACAGGTTGCTTTATTTTAGAGAGCATGGGTGTCCTCAGTGAGGGGTGTGCTAGAGGTTTTGTTCCTTCTATTAGGAATGGGAAAGCGGGGTCTCCAGGACTGGATTAAACAAGGAACAAGTGAGAGCGTTTCTTTGGGTATTGTGAGGATCTAAATTGAGAACCATTTATTTGGTTCCTCAAACGCATCCACCTTATCTCCATCGACACCGCGCAGCAACCACGCGCGCACTTATACAGCCAGAGACTGCGAGGGCCCAGGGTCCATGCGTGCGTCTCGGGACCACCGGGAGCTCTCCAGACTGACCCGGACTGATCCACAGAAGGAGCTGTGGTCGCCTCGACTTATGGCTCTGGGCGGAGAGGATGCTGCGGTGAGTGTGGGGTGAGTCAAAGCAGTGAAATCGCTCGGTATAACTGACCGGTACAGGAGGGATCCAGATCCCCCTCTGTGGGAGCATCCTGAGTCGCCGCCGAGTTTGAGCGGGGGTGGGGGTGGGGGGAATCTGTCCTTGGGATCTCGTCTAGGGCTGCTGGGGGGCGGGGACACTTACTGTGAATTCGATTTGAGGAGCTCGCTCCAAAAAGCTGCAGTGGAGATCCTGGCTCTGGGCGCTAGTGTCGCGTAGGTCTATAATAAGCATCCGCACCTTTCAGGGATCTGCCGGTTTTTATAGCCGGGTGGCGGCGACGACGGCGGCGGTGGTGGCCGGGGCGGGGGCGGGGAAGGGAAACAATGTGCTTGTCCTGGAGGGGCAGCCGCGCCAATGAGCTGGGCCCACTGGAGGGGCTGGGAAGCTGATGTCATCCGGGCTAATTCCGCTCAATGAAACCCGCCGGGTCCGGCACACGCCTCCTCCCCGCGCACAACCAATGGGCGTCCGCGGTGGAGAGATTCTTGTGGAGGGACTGGAGGAGACCCCGCCAGCGACAGTGAGAGCCGAGCGGGAGGAGGAGGGCAGGCTCACCCGGGAAGGAGAGAGGGCCGAAAGCGCTTGGGACCGAGGAAGAGAGAAGCACCGTTAAATTTCTATAAAGATATATTCACCACTGAGTCCTAATGGGAGACCGCGTGGGCTTGAGACCGGCATAAAAACTAACCTGACATCCAGCGCAGCTGGATCTTGGAGAAGTGCGCAGATAACGCTCAAGACGCAGTGGAAGCTCCCTAGTTTTCTCTTTCTCTGGCTTCCTGCCATCTCTTGGGTTTGATCAACACGCAAGCATTTGGGGCCCCCATTTAAAGGTTAACCATGCACAAAGCCCCCACTTTCTTCTCTCTCAGAGCGCTTGTACTAGGTGGTGGTTGCCGCTGCTCGGCAGGAAGGCGATAGCGCCCCCAGGTGGGAACACGGCTTTGCCGGGCAGAGGGCGGGCGAGGAAGAAGGGGACCCGCTCCTGGACGGTGTTTTGAAAGAAATCACAACTCTTCATAAAGTTGAGAATGTGCAAGGTCGAATTGTTTCCGTACAGTAACCGCACTAACTCTGAGTAAGTGCATCACGAGTTAAATATCCCCACCGCCTGTTTACTAGCGGGGAAGCCCAGCGATAGCATTTCCAGCACGACTGGGTTTTGTTTACAAAGACATGTCTCAGGCACGAGCTAAGTCCTCCTTCTGCGGTGGGGTAGGGAGCGGAGATTGAACTGTTCCCAGATGGTTCGGGACACATTTTACTTATCACAGCCCGACTCTCAAATAGGGAAATACCTTGACCAGGAGGTATTGAACCCGAACTGGAGAAGCATCTGAGGTTGTCCAGAGGTGCCTAGGCACTTACCCATTTTACAGATTTTAAAATTCCATTCTAGATTTAAAAATCTAGAGACCCTACAGAAAAATTGCTCCGTCTTTACAGCGCAGCCCCTTCCTCTGGAGTACAGATGGCAGCGTGTAGGATCTTAGGGTAGAAGCAACTGCCGGGGCTCCCCAATCCTTAACCTTTTCCTTGAGCTGAATTTCTCATATCCTTACAGCTCCTCACAAAGCGCACGCACACACACACACACACACCCCTACACTCATACACACTGTCCCCACTTCTGTCTCCCAGGGCATATTAAGGGTTATTGGGTTACTTTCTTTGTTTGGGAACATTTAATATACACAACGTGTATATTACAAAAACAAGCAAACATCACAATTTGTCTTCATGTAGCAACGTTACAAAACAAGCTAATACGAAAACCCAGGTTATTGCTCCTAGTTGGGTTCTAAGTTTTCCTCCAGGGTCGATGCTAGAAAGCCCAGTGGGTTTTCGCCTTTGCCCGTCTTGTGCCTTCTGGAGCATAATTTTTCAACCCGCGTGTTTTCCAGCTGGCTCTGCAGCCATCCGTTAAATATGTATTTAAAACATGAAGAACTGAAGCGTGGTGATATGCCGTCCAACGGTTGCAAGGATAACCCATAACCGTTCAATTACCAGAATCTGTCACACAGACGGACCAACCCAGGGAGCGCGGGGTGGGAATCAGGAAGAGCTCCGACCTTTGGACTTCCGCGTCAACCGCAGTGAGGACGTGAGTGGAGGTGTGAGCTGTGGGGCCAGCAGCTGGGCCGTGGAGTTGTGCGCCTGCCAGAGCATCTAATAAACACTAGCGGGCACACCGTGCGCGCGCCTTGGTTGCAGGCGCTGCCTTCAGTCCAGCCGCCGGCACGTGTCCCAGAGCTCGAGTTTCTTTTTTTTGTGTGGCTTCCCACTGGTATCTCTCTTGCGTCCAGCGGTCTGCGGGAGAGCTTGATTTGACATTCTTTACACGTTTGGTCCAGTGGCTGGAGTCGGAGGCAGGGCCGAAAGTTGGGAGCTCATCCTAGGAAGGAGCGAGTCTGGAGCCTGAAAGGCAGAGTCCAAAGGCAGGAGAGTTCGCTTGCTCTCCAAGTTCCTCCTGGACGCCCGTAAACACTCCAGCCCCAGCGAGCGCCACTGAGCTGAGATTGCGGGGAGCAGTTCTGGGGCTGTGCAGCGGCACCTCGCGGTTCTCACTCCTTTGGTTCGAAGCTCGGGCTGGCAACTCTGGGCTGTAGGCCTCTTCTCCTGGCTGCCTTCCCCTAACAACTTCCCTTCGCCAGAGTTGCTTGGGAGATGAGTGTGGGGCGGGGGTGGGGTCTGTGTGCCTCTAGTTTTCATTATTTTGGGGGCAAACTGGACGCTGGATACAGCTCATTGTGTCCCTCCCCCGGCCCCGGAATAATCGGACATTTAAAGTGGGGCGGCCAGCGCTTGCCCTCGTGCGTCCTGCATGCGTCGCGGCACTTGTCCAGGTACTGAGCCTAGCGCCCGGAGTACACCTCCTGTGCTTGTCCGGGCCGCCGCGGTTCCCAGCAGCGCGCTCAGTTGAGCCCAAGCCATTTCCCCGGGAATTAAGAGCTCACTAGCTCGCGCTACTTGGCTCCGGGGCTTCCTGGCTGGCCCTTGCGTCCTAGAGCGGTTGGTCTCCTCCGTCAAAACGGAAGACGTGTTTTTCCCTCTCCTTTGTGGTTCCCTCGCACAAAAGGCCGGGTGCGTATCGGGGCGGCCTTTGCTCGGCTGCCTATGCCAGACCCGCGGGGGTGGGGGCTCGCGCGGGGATCCAGGACGCAGACCTCCCACCGCTTCCGGGTCTCTCCCTGGCCTCCCGCGCCTTAGGTTCAGTTTCTCCCCTTTCCCTTCCCCGAGTTCCTGCTTGCATTCAGGCGGCATCTCCTCCTGGCTGCCGAGAAGAGCGCCGTCCTTGTGCAGAACCCGCCAGGGATGAGGTGGAAGGCAAGGCTCCCGGCACAGAAAAGGAAAGGAAAAAAGGGAAGGGGAGCGGGGAGGCATTTCAGCCATCAATCCTGGCCCGCAAATTAGGAGGGTACAGACTGGTAGCATTTGGTGCTCAAACAATTGCGATGAGACCGCTTCCCGCCCCGAACTCTGTAAACAAATGGCAAGTCTTCCTTGCAAAACTCAGCTCCAATAGCCCTCCGAGTCGTGCTGGTGTCCCAGACCAAGAACGGGTCCTGGCACGTGGCAGGTGCTTGACACATAGTTCTGCGTGCGTACATGTGCAAATATGCGTGAGTTGGTGTGAAACATGACTAATGAAATACACGTAAATGTGGGCAAAGGTGAGTTGTATGTAGTTGTGTGCATAATAACCAAGAGATCTGTATCCGGATTGTGGAGTGTATGGAATTTTTAGAAAGATAGGGCTGGTGACTTTCATCAAATGGTAGCTGTGATCACTTGAAGGCAACCTAAGCTGAACCAGTCACTTAATGGATGTTGATAGACTTCATTTTATTTGTTTTCTCACTGGTCCCAGAGGGAAGTATTACTTTCACTTTACAGATGGAGCAACCTCAGAGAGGTGTGGGCAAAGTCAGGAGCAGGGTGTGGGAGACCAGGTGCAGGCACGGACTGGACTGTGGGCATCATAGATTTAAAAGATCTAAGTCCCTGGCCTCAGTTTCTTCTTGAGAAAGCAGGTTCCTAGTGGCTACCTGTGTTCTCCAAGGGTGTGACAGATTCAGAGTGCGTGGGAAGAACCTAAGGACACCTTTCCCTTGTAGTTTTGCCATTTGCAACACTGAGTATTCTGGAGCCCATGCCCTGGTCTGATTTAGGCTTACCTGCCAGCAGAGGCTGGACCCAGAGTGGGTTCTACAAGACTTCTGGGAGCTTGGGGAGAAGGGTTCAGTGGCAGGGAAGCTGAGGGGAAACTAGCAAAGAAGCAACCTAACAAAATCCAAACTGATGCACTCCCCACTCTAGGCAGGGATCACTCTCCCCTCTGGCAAAGATTACTACAGCCATTTGTCCCATTAGAGCCACTGAAGTTAACCACTTTACCCTTATCCAAGTTCAAGGTGGAATATTAGAACAGGTCTGAGGAGGGACTGGAATATACTTTTACTGGACTCAGATTACGATCCATTATTATCTTCCCTAATCTTGGCAATTACATATTTGATGTTAAGAGGGTTGTTCTGATTTCGCAGATCTAAATACTGATGACTGAGGGTCACTTCAGGGGCTGAGTTTGAACTCCAGCCCACCAGATCTTAAGTCCAAGGCACCTCCATTCTCCTTCCAGGGCCCTCTTCCCTCTCCCCCTTCCTCCCAGGAGATACTTGGTCCACACTGTGGCCTTGACTAATTGTATACTTCCATACCAGGGGCCACTGCCTTCTAGGTCAGGATTAATCTAGAGAGTGGGGAATGGGATGAACCTGCCATAGAGCACCTGGACAGAGGTGTCCTTGGTCAGCAGATGGATGCTGAAGCCCGTGCTTGTGTTCCATTTTTATAAGGTGCATTGGCAACCTTAGGCCCTGGATAAGGGGAGGTATGGTGGGAGAGGCTCAATCTGACTACTAAGAGGGTAAACCCAGGGTTTTAATGACCCAACCTTTGTGTGCTCAGGCCGTAGAATCACAAGGGTGATTAGGTGCCTCTCAGCTGCAAGCAATGTATGAACTGTCTGGCTTGCTATGTCCAGGGGCGGGGTGGGATGAGGCTTGATTTGGAGATTGCACTGGCTGTACTTATGAGTATCAATGTGTCTCCACATGGATTTCAGGTTCAAGTCGGAGTTCTGAAGGATGTGGGTGGGCCTTCTCCCGCCCTGATCTGACCTTTGCCGGCTTCTCACCACCTTCACTACTCATTCTCATCACCCAGGAGTGCTGCTTTTGTCACCCACAGGCTCC